CAGGCGGGCGCGCGCGCTCACAGATCGTGCGTGCAGTTGGCAGGCTTGTCCATGCGGTGGCCTTCCTTCAGCAGCTTGAAGAGCTCCTCCACGGGGATGCCGGGGTACGGCGAGCCCCCCAGCGTGAAGATCTCCCAGAGCAGGACACCGAAGGACCAGCTGTGGGCGGCGGGGGCGCGGCACCGTCAGCCCACCCTGCCGCCCGCGGTCCCCCGTGCACGCGGAAGCCCCAGAACAGACCCCAGTGGGGTGCAGGGGGCTACCGATGGTGCCCAGCTCTGCCCCACAGCTCCCCGGCCCCTGCCCTGGTGTGGCCTGTGCCCCGCCCGGCTCCCCACCCTGCCCCCGCCCGGGTCTGGGGGGCCACATACACGTCACTCTGGTGGGTGTAGACGCGGTCAAACAAGGCCTCGGGCGCCATCCACTTCACGGGCAGGCGGCCCTGGGAGGAGGAACGGGGCTTGTTGGCCGCCAGGCGCCCTCTCGGCTCGCGTCCCCCACCCTCCCCGGGCCGGGCTCACGTTGGTGGTCTTCTTGTAGTAGTCGAGGTTGTGCACGTCGCGGGCCAGGCCGAAGTCCGCGATCTTCATCACGCTGTCCTCGGTCACCAGCACGTTGCGGGCGGCCAGGTCCCTGTGGATGCACTGGGGACAGGACCGGGGTTGAGGCGGTCGCCACCGGCCGCTGCCTCCGCCCCCCGCCCGGCCCGGCCCCGCCGGTACTCACCTTCTGCGAGGCGAGGTACTCCATGCCCCGCGCCACCTGATAGGCGCAGGAAACCAGGTCCTTGAAGGTGAGCTGCTCCTCGGGCAGCCGGCAGGTGTCGAAGGAGTAGTCCGTGCCTGGGGGCCGCCGCGCCCGCAGGTACTCCCGCAGGTTGCCCTTGGCTGCGTACTCCACCAGCACGTACAGGGGCCCTGTGAGCACTGGGGTCTCAGAGGGGGCTGCACCTGGGGGCCGCCCACCGCCCGCCGCGGGCCCAGCACCCACCGCCCTGCGTGCAGGCGCCCAGCAGGTTGATGATGTTCTTGTGTTTCCCGATCATCTTCATCATCTCCATCTCGGACACCAGGTCCGACAGGTCCTTATCTGTAGCGTCATCTGTGCGGGGAGGGGGTTTTGTCAGGCTGGGCCACCCCAGCCTTGTCCAGGCTCCCCTCGCCACGTCCCTCCCTCACCTTTCAGCATCTTCACCGCCACCGTGACGGGCTTGGCAGCCCGGTCCTTGTCGATGCCGATGGCCTCTGCCATGACCACCTGGCCGAAGCAGCCCTCCCCGAGAGGCTTGCCCAGAGTCAGCCTGGTGGCAAAAGCAGAGAAGAGATGAGCACGCCCGCCCGCTCGAGGCACTGTCCCAGGCAGCCTGAGGTGCAGTGCCACTGCCTCCAGGAAGCCCGCCATCCTCGCCCTGGTGACCCTGCTCGTGCTGGTGGTCAAATTAGGCAATGGAAAGAAAGAGGAAAAAATGGGAAAAATGAAGTTAAGAATAGGGTTGATATACAAAATGTATACCTTCAAGCTCTGCAGAGTTGATTGGAGATGTACTCCAATTTTCTTGCTGAGCTTATTATTATTCAGAGCATTATGGCTTTCAATACTAATGAAATGAAGTAAAATATTCCCATCTGAATGCAGCCGGGTCTGAGTGGGGCCCCTCCCTGCCACCGGCCCCCACCGTGTGTGCACCCCCCGCCCGCCCCGGCCCCAGGCCTTCGCACACCACTGACCGGGCCCGGGACAGCTCCCACTTGGGGTCGGCGGGCAGCTCAAGCTCAGAGACGTTGGCCAGCGCGGGGCCCTCCCCCGAGGACAGCCGGGCGATCCGCACCAGCGGCGTGTTGGAGCTCATGGACGAGCTGGACTCCAAGGACACCTGCTTGGGTCAGCAGGGGCAGGTTGGTGCCGCGGGGCCGCACGACCGGGGTGCGGGGGCGAGGGTGCAGCCCCCTCGGACCATAGGCCGAGGCCGGGCCTGGGATGGCTGCCTGACTCCTGCACAGCACTGAGCGAAGACTTCTAAAATGTTCTGTGCCCAGAGTGACCCGGCTCTGTGCGGTGACCACGGAGAACGGGGAGGGCTCGGCGCCCCCCACAGCAGAGGGGCTGTCCCCGGGCAGGCCCCAGGGCCCAGGCCTTGACACTAGGAAAGGGACTGAGCGTGGGAGCCCGGGAGGCCGGGGCAGGGGCACGGGTGGCTCGGAACCTGGTATCTACTTTCTGTTACCTGTCGCTTGAGCGGGAAGCGGGAGACCTTGTGCACGGCGGGCGAGCCCAGGCCCTTCTTGGGGGGGCTGCGCAGGCGGCAGAGGGTCACAGCGGCCACCACCAGGATGAAGAGAAGGAAGCCCACCCCGTAGCTGAGGACACCTGCGTACACACTGCCAGCCTCACCAGCCTCCACCAGCTCCTCCTCAGCTGCAAAGACACGGGCATTGGGGCCTGGCCCAGCCTCTCAGGAGCCCCCGCGGGCCGCCCTGGGCCGGGCAGGGGGCTCAGCTCCCCTGGTGCGAGTGCTGAGGCCTGAACGGCCTACTTGTTGAAGGTCCAGCAGCCAGAAATGCCTGGGCCAGGAGGGGCAGACCCAGGACAGAAAGAGCCCAGCGGAGCCAGCGGCACCCTCACCCGCCACCCGGGAGACACCAAAGCCACCGTATCAGCTGCTGGGGACCCCGTTGGGATGGGGCGCTCAAGGGAGGCCCTCTGGGCCAAGACAGGGCCGTGTGGGCTCTGTCCCCATACCGGGCACAGGGCCTGGCTCGAGGGCTCTGCAGTCCCCTGCCTGTCCCCGGCGGCGTTGGCGTGTCCCGAGCTGCAGCCCCGAGAGGACAGGCGCAGAGCGAGCGCAGCAGGAGCTGGTACCTGGCAGCACCACCAGCCACGCAGAGTGATGGGAAAACCCGATAGAATTGCCCGCCAGACACGTGTACTCCCCCGCGTCCTCAAAGGTGACATTGCGCAAGGACAGAACCTCTAGCTCCTTGTCGGTGGTGTTAGCGCCCGCCGTCTACAAAGAGAGAACAGAGCGCGATAGGAGAGCGCCAGCACCTCCCGCGGGCACCACAGCCAGAGTCCACACGGCGATGATCCAGCCAGGCTGCAAGGAAAACGCCGCCACCGCCACCACGGCCACGGCCACGGCCACGGCGGCCGAGGGCCCTCTGCCTCGTGCGTCCACACCGAGCCCGAAGCCAGTCCCTCCACCGGCAAGTCCTCTGTCCCAGGTGAGCCAGGCGTGCGACTGGCAGCACAGCAGGAGGGGTTAGCGCGCACCAGGAGGGGGCAGGCGGGCGGGCAGGCGACAGAGAGACGGGCAGGAAGTGAGCAGCAGCGGGAGCAGGGGCCAGAGAGAGAGAGATGGAGGGAGAGCGCGAGAGCCAGAGCAGTGGAAGACGGGCTCTGGGCCGGCCTCGGGGCTGAGGTCCTCTGGGGCGGGGGGCGGGGGGGGAGTGCACACGGGGGTGCAGGCGGGGCAGCACAAGCCACGG